ATAGGTTACGAAAGACAGCCTTGTCCTTTTTACTTACAGTGTATACAATTTAATGTTTATATTAAAGCTTTTACTAATGCAATCATTGCTTAATGGCTTATCTTAAACACAATGCATTCAAATTATAATTTTGCACAGAGTGACTTGCAAGGACATCATCGGCAATTTTTCAAAAGAAGGCTGTCAGTATCACAAATGGACATTAAACAGCATCAGGCTTTAGAAAAACTAGATCCATTTCTTTAATTAACTTCACTTGGAAGTTTTCAAAGTAAATCGATCCCTGGCTCTATTTTATTTTATTTTTCTTCTTTTCCATATAATGTTCTCAGAATCCGAAAAGAAGGCCGGTGTTTACTAATTTAAACAAGTGCTATATTTTGTCTTGTTGCAACATGTTATATCTCTCTGGGGTAATAAGGTTTTTAGTAAAACAGAGTGTTTGTTAGTGTTAACTTTTAAACATACAATTGTTTATTAATTAGAAGAAAGCACATTAATGTATTCACCTCGTTTGATGTACAGAATAGTAAAACTTTGATAAGAACTGTTGGGCGCATCATCTACCGAGTTCAAAAGAAACGGAACTGAAAAGCCCACTTAAATTTAAATAATGTGCCCCATTTTCTTGCATGTTTGTTTTTTACTGATAGTATTAATAAATTAACATTTTAAACAATCCGTCTTTATTGTTGTACCACCACTTATTTTTAACTCAATTAGATTTTAATAGATCATTTTTCTTAATATACACAGTTCTCCTCACTTTGTTCATCACACAACAAAAGAGTAATTACAAATCTGAGCAATGATCAAAAACATTATAATTCAATTGTTACAATGAGTTAAAAAATTACCATTCTAATGTAATACAATGCATGTGTTGCAATTAAACGTCTCAAGGTCTGTTATTGTATGTATGTCGGCACCTATGTGATTATAGTATACTTCCAACTATGAGAAATAATTGCTTTGGCATTTGAATTTTCAACTGTAGGCATCATAGACGAAACAAAATGTTTAGACTGTAGCATTGAACAAACAAGCTCAATCTACAGAGGCATAATACAATATTTTAAATAGTTTCACACAGCAGAAACACTAATAAATCAGGACAGTAGCTTCAGCCTGTGGATTCAGGTCACTCTTGTAAATGAGTCCTCAAGGCTCAATGGGATTAACCTGTAAATAAAGGTTGAATGAATACAAAATGTTTAGGATCCAGCAATGTTTTGTATGCTCACTATGAATTTAATTATTTTTTTACATCTAATTATATAACTTTATTTTATTTTACAACTTTATTTGCAACTTTTACTGTACTTATTTTGTGTGTGCTGCTTTTGTAAAGCACACAAATACATTTGATAAAGAGTTTGCGGATGAAGATGTTGAATCGTTTTACTGTAAACTCCATTAGCTGCTAGAAAAGCATCGGGGCAGCTCACAATAACTTTTAGATTCACTGACTTGTAACTTTTTCAGCTGTTGACATAAAAGCAGCTACCCAGCAGTTGAAACTTGAAGCTATTATACAAATTAATGCTCAGTAATCCTGGTAAAAATACCCAACAAAGTTAAGTCAGGTATTCTGGACGGTTTCTTTTTTTGTTGAAATGTTTCATCCAAAGGACTTCATCAGTCCAAGGAGCCACAACAAACTAAGTTCCATAAGTGGCTTACTCACGTAGTGGGCCAAGAAGTTGTATGATGATAAGACGGTTTCTGGAGTCCGCCCTCTCCCCCGTCGACACCTCTGAGCCAGCCATAGTCAAAGTTGTTCAAAAAGTGGTCCAGAAACCATCTTATCACCATAAAACTGGTTGGCCTACTATGTGAGTAAGCTATTTATGGGACTGAGTTTGTTGTGGCTCCTCGGACTGATGAAATCCTTTGGATGAAGGATGAAACGTTTCAACAAAATCAGAAACCGTCCAGATGACCTGACTTGACTTTGTTGGATTGGATCAATTACAGGTGCTGGTCATAAAATTAGAATATTATGAAAAAGATTATTTTTATTTTGACATGAAGTGCTCTAAAACTACCTGGTAGATGGCTGCATTGACTTTGGACCTCAGAAAACACAGTGGACCAACACCAGCAGATGACATGGCACCCCAAACCATCACTGACTGTGGAAACTTGACACTGGACCTCACGCATCATGGATTCTGTGCCTCTCTTCTTCCTCCAGAATCTGGGACCTTGATTTCCAAAGAAAATGCAAAATTTACTTTCATCAGAGAACATAACTGTGGACCACTCGGCAGCAGTCCAGTCCTTTTTGTCTTAAGCTAGGCGAGACACTTCTGATGCTGTCTCTTGTTCAAGAGTGGCTTGACACAAGGAATGCAACAGCTGAAACCCATGTCTTGCATACATTTTTTGCGTGGTGGTTCTTGAAGCACTGACTCCAGCTGCAGTCCACTCTTTGTGAATCTCCCCCACATTTTGGAATGGGTTTTGGTTCACCATCTTCTCCAGGGTGTGGATATCCCTATTGCTTGTATACTTTTTCTACCACATAATTTTCTTCCCTTCACTTCTCTATTAATGTGCTTGGACACAGAGCTCTGTGAACAGCCAGCTTCTTTAGCAATGGCCGTTTGTGTCTTGCCCTCCTTGTGCAAGGTGTCAATGGGCGTCTTTTGGACAACTGTCAAGTCAGCAGTCTTCCCCATGATTGTGTAGCCTACAGAACTAGGCTGAGACCATTTAAAGGCCTTTGCAATTGTTGTATTTAGCTGAATAGAGCACGAGGTGTCTTCAATATTGAACCTTTTCACATTATTCTAATTATCTGAGATACTGAATTTGGGGTTTTCATTAGTTGTCAGTTATAATCCATCCATCCATCCATTATCTTTACCCACTTATTCCATTTTGGGTCACGGGGGTCGCTGGTGCCCATGTCCAGCAATCACTGTGCGAGGGGCGGGGTACACCCTGGACGGGTCGCAAGTCCATCACAGGGCCACATAGAGACAAACAACCATTCACTCTCTCACTCACACCTAGGGACAATTTAGAGTTACTAGTCAGCCTAACATGCATGTTTTTAGTCTGTGGGAGGAAACCGGAGTACCCGGAGAAAACCCACGCATGCACGGAGAGAACATGCAAACTCCACCCAGAAAGGCCCCTGGACCGGGATTTGAACCAGGGACCTGCTCGCTGAGAGGCAGCAGCTCTACCAGTTGCGCCACCGTGCTGCGTCAGTTATAATAATCAACAATAAAATAAATAAACATTTGAAATATATCAGTCTGTGTGTAATGAATGAATATAATATACAAGTTTCACTTTTTGAATGAAATTACTGAAATAAATCAACTTTTTCATGATGTTCTAATTTTATGACCAGCACCTGTATATGATATCTTCAAAATTAGTATCATACTTTCCAGAACATGCATCTGTCCTTTGTGGAAAACAAACGATAACAACAAAAACAATAAACAACAACACTGTTTGTAGTAATGCTATATTTGGACAATTGGGACTGAGATCTTGCATTGCTTCAGTTAATAACTTTTGCATATGGCCTCACTGATGTCCCCTTGACAACATCTTGCTATGTAATTTTTTTTAGTACTGTATAAAATTGTGACCAACTTGACTTGCAACTGAAAATAAGAAATAAAACTTTAGGTATGGGTGATCTGAGATCTTTTGTTATTCCTGTTGTCTTTAGCATGTCTGAGACGAGTGGAATTGTCAGTTTTAAAAAGATGGATTCCTTGAGTCGTCATATGACAGCACGGCAGAAAGGGCAATTCAATTCCTGGGGGACAGCAGCAGCCAACAGGAGGTGAATGGGCAGTAGCTTGGGCTAGAGGTCGTCTCCAGCCATTGTCTGTCGGTCACTCAGGATGGGCCCCCAAATCATGTTGTCAATGTTGATGCATCGAGAGCTCCCTCTGGCAAAAATTGGATGCTCCAAACTTGATTGATGCATTACGCAGGTTGTGGCTGCTTGCATTCAGCTTGTGTCCTTCCCCTCTGTTAACAGTATAGCAACTCAAACACTTGGCAGTGAATAGGGTGAGACGTACTTTTCAAAAGTTTTTTTTTTCTTTTTCTGTGTGTGGTAAATAGTCGAACGCTGACACAATGTATTATTTTTATTTTTTTGGGCAAGATATCCACTGTGTCTGTCATCCTTGAAATTTATAAGATTTCAACTGCCTTTTCATTTTTCTCACCGCATCTTTTTTGATGCGGTTCAATCAGTGCTCAAAGATTGTTCTCACTGTTTCCATTGAGATTAGAGGACTACATTATGACCTGAAGGTGAATGCACAGCTTGTACATTCAATGTATGCCACAATAGATTTAAATGAGAAATATCTTCTTTATTTTCTGTGACCAAAAGTGTAGGCTTTTGTGTCTCCAAGGGCATGGCATTCTTGGTTCGTTGGTATTAGCTGTGAGTTTTTTGAACATGAAATATTTTCTTTTATCCGTCTTTTTTTTCTTCATTATGTTCCTGCTCTGTCTCTTTCTTTCATCGCTTTTCTCCAATGGTTTCCTTGATACTTTTGTTTGGTCTGGATTGCTCTCTTTGTGTGTTTGTGTGTATGCGTGCGTGTGTGTATTGTTTGTTTTGTAACTGAATTGTTAGTAGTTATTTCTGTTGACTAAAAATGTGATAAGCATGTAGTGTTTCACAGAGTGTACATATATGTGGTGTGTATACTTTGTCGTCAGCACGTAATGAACATGAGCACATGGTATATTTTTATTCAATTTTTTTTAATATAAAACTTTGTGGCTTATTTGATTTAAGTATTAATTCAAGCTGAGCTTTAAAGAAGTGAACAATCCAGGGGAAATCCTTTTTTCCTAATTCCGTTTACGTTTTTCACATTAGGTCATGCTACTCCACTTAATTTTTTTCTTTAATTTTGTAAACAAAAAGATAGAGAAAACAACAGTAACAACTTTGTCCTCCCTTTTTTCTTCTCCCTCTCTTTTTTCTTTGTCTGTGTTTGCAGGGCCTGTTCATCTTTCTGATATACGGGGTGTACAACACAGAGGTAAGTCTGCATTGTGTCTCAAGGCTGTCGGAGTGAATGAGAGAAATGACAAGTTTCTGATGGGCTTCTTGCTTAAAAGCTGTGTGGGTGACGGAGTGTGTTCGTGCGTGTATCAACGTGTTTCTGTGCGTGATTCAAGGGTGGGGAGGGGACATCGTTTCCACGCGAGCGTCCCACTGCCCTTCATGCTTGGGCTAACTTATATGCATCCGAGTCCGACCATTTAACACTGACATGCTGCGGTTCTCAGCCACTCATTTCTCACCAACATTGGCTAATATTTCACTGCCTCTTTAAGTTTTTAAACTCACGGCCCTCCATTTAGCATCCTGACAAAGCTACTGGCCAGGGCTTTGCAGGGCTCCAAGCAGTAACCATAGCAGGACAAAAAAATAAAAACCTGCAACAAACCGTATGCAATGACAGAGGGGGGAATATCATATTGAGATGGTATTACCATTTAAATGGGCCATAGATTTGTGGGGGTTCAGAATGGGTGAGTGGTGAGACAGAGGGATGTGATTTAATGGATGGGATCCTAGCCTTAAAAATCACTCCTGGTCAAACGAGGCTCTTAGTCTGTGTGGATAACATTAACTTTAGATATGCACGGAAGGAACTGCATTTGAGTACCTTCCTAAATATAATTTTATTTCTAAATCATTTATTGACACTGCCAATCCCAAAGATTAAAGAGAAACACAGCACAAATACCTGATTGGACTTCGAGAAGATCTGAAAGTCAAGTCAGAGTCTAATGCAATTGCCGAAGTACTGTATAATTTAAAGTTGGTATCATGCTACTCAAAGAATTCAGTTTAATTCTGTTTTGCTTATTATAGTGCCAGTTAACAGCGGATGTCTCTGGGCTCTGAACAAAAACATTTGCATACATTCTAAAATGCCATTTTGTACACCATAACTATCTAAGGAAGACAGCAGATTGTGACAAATCTGCAATTTGTCCCAATCTCCCTGAGTAAGCCACCTGGTGACAGTGGAAAAGAAACCCCCCCTTTTAACAGGAAGAAACCTCCAACAGAACTGGACTCGAGAGTCAGAGATCTACCTTGACTGGCTGGGGTTAGAGAGGACAAGAAAGCAATACAGAGTAAAAGTTATGTTAGTGCAGTACAGCACAAATTCAACAAGCCACCATTTGCTCAACAAGCACTCCTTTGTGGCTGGAATGAATTGCAGTTGAGTAGTCTTAATTTCTTAAATACAAGCATCATTTACCTTCTGTTTGTTCTGCTGAATATTCAAGGTCATTAGGCATCATTACTCGACAGCCGCCTTTCAATTCCTTATCTAACGTTATCATCGCCTCCGTCCATCTGACCATCCAATCTTTATTTCACTTGTGCAATATTTTCATTTTCTGTCCTTTTTAATTTTCCATGTTCTCTTTCTTTTCTGTGTTCAAGTCTTTAGAGCATGAATAGCTGTCCCTGAGATACAGGCAATGCACTGACAATGCAAACCCAGAGAAGGCTGCCCTTTAACATTGTAAAATAAATCAACATACATTCTTGCCAAAGTGGTTTTTGTGGTGCTTAAGAATTATTTTTCTAACACAAAAGTTGTCTTTGACCCTGAGGTCTTCATAGTTTTTGAAAAGATTGTGTTCATGTTTCGATTTTCAAAAGAGCTATTAAGACTAGTTGAAAAAAATGACCTGTTGTGTTGCCATCATTCAGAGCTGCTCATCTCCTTGTTTTGAACCTTCATCACCTTTAAAGGAGGCTCCTTGTTCTGTATCACTCTGCTTGTCTGTTCATATCCTTTGACTTAACCTCAACAGTGAGACACAGAAAACTGTTGGCTTCTAGATTCATTTTCCATAAAAAATAAACCTCAATGAAAAAAATCACAGGATTCTAAAATTGTGTTGTTTGTAATCTCTTGAAAAGAGAAATTAATGTTGGATTGGAACGTCTTTACTGGACTGTTTGTTTGTAGTCTTGTGTTTTATGATTAGGTTTGTTTTGTGAGCTGTGCGTTTTGTTCTAATACTTGTATTTTCATTTTATTCAGCCCTTGTGTTGCATTGTGCCATCTGCCACTTCCACTTCAGTAATTTTCCCGTCAGCTGCCTTGCTCATCTTTAGTCACTTTTCCTCATTAGTCCTTGCTTTTTAAGTTTGTCCATCTACACTCCAGTTTCAGTCGAGCATTTCACATTTTCAGATGCCGTTTGTTCCTTCTCATACCTTTGTGTGTTTCCTTGTGCTCTCCTCCTGTTGTTCATATGTTTTGTTGCAGGTCTTTTATTTTTTTTTTGAGCATCTCATGTTGATTTGAATTCTGGGTACAAACCTGCCAAACAGTGCAATTTTTATGTCTGTGTTAATTTAAGACTCATGGTTGGGCATGATCACCTCCTCTTCATTGTCATTGCTCATATTAGTTCACAACCTTGTTTAGGATCACTGAAGATGAACCAGCACTTTAGAGCTTGATGGACATGTTTGTTATAAAAAATGCAACTGATTGCAGAATCTGTGCTGTGCTATTCTGTTACTTTCTCAAACTTTTCTTCATATATTAGTGTTTAAAGGACTGACAGTTGAGTGTATTAAAAGTATGCACACAAAAAAAAAAAAAAAAAAAAAAAGAACGAGACCCTATTGTTTGACTTTTGCTGGTAATTGTTACCCTGTTGGAGCAAAAGAGTAAAGGAAATTATTTGATATGCAAAGTGGTGAATAAACTAGTGTAGTGCCTGAAAGTTAGAACACAATCATTGGGCTGGTTTCTGGAGGGAATTATTTCAAAATGTGGAATGGAGCAAAGACTGCATCTCTTGCATCTCTTGCTATTACACTCAAACTGTGATGCGCTAATTGCTAATTACCTGATGTTAGTTTCCCATTATTCACTGCAATTAGCTTTTCCTTGGTGGTCACCTTGTAATTCTGTGCTTTGATGACCTTTTATTTCCATCAACTCCAAGGATGTTGGCAGGTGTTGTTGAGCTCACTGCTTTTATATGGAAATTGCTTTGTGCCCATTTACATGGGAAACCATGTTTTGCATCATTTTAAAACCTTGGGTGAGTGCTAAACCTCTAAACACATAACAATCATCTAACACAATGCCCTTCCCCTCATTGTCAAATGAATAATTAAGTTGTCATGTAATTGCCTCAGCATGCTGGCGGTTTTAGATATTTTCCCATTTAAATATTGTTATTCCATGGTGCCTCACCATGATCTGCAACGTGTTGAAGAGGGTTTTAAGACATTGTCAGAAAGGTTGATCGGCTTTTGGAAACATGATGCTGGCACTGTTGTTTCTGCACCATCTTTAATATGTAGGCCTTCAGCAGTGGTATGTATACAGGCAATCCACTCTACATACATGCCATCACTGAGAATTGCCATGTGTGTTGACTGTGGTGTCATAATATATAACGCAGAGTGACTTAATGAAGCCATAACCCTTAATGTGTGTTCACTAATGTCGTGGGCTGGGCAGGGGCAAACTGTAGTCATGAGTGCCCAGCTGCTACAAATTTACATGTAGGACTGATGATGTTCTCAATGCATGCACGAACACACACGTGCACATGCAGAACTAATAAGTGCCAAAAGCTTTTCATTACAATCAAGCCCACATACAGTAAAAACATCAGATTCTTATGATGGCTTAAAATGAGGTAAATGCAATGTATGTTCAGTACCAAGTAGCATATGATCCACGCCGTTAACAAATCCTACGACAAAATCCAAAAGCAGAGTATAAAAACTCAGTTGTCCCTCGCTACATCGCGGTTCACTTATTACAGCTTCACTTTATTGCGGGATTTTTCCAATTCTGTATCATGGAATTTTTGCTACATCGTGCAGTTTTCAGTGCTGCTCTGTTCACAAACTGTAAACCTAAGAGTGGGAAAGGTTTGTAGGAGTGTGAGAAGGGTTTATAAAGCCTTAAAATATATGAATAATAAAATAAATATAACACTGCTGCTTTGCAGATTTTCACCTATCGCGGGGGTCTCTGGAATGTAACTCCCGCGATAGGTAAAGGATCACTAGTCTGTCAAACTATTTTTTTTACCAGCAAAACCTGAAGTAATCACATTCCATGTTGAAGCAATATTACTTAAGTTTCTCAATATCGCCAAAAGGTATTTGTCTATTTACAGCTCACTGAGGACATTGTCATTACCACCACCAAAAGGGGAAGGCAAAGCAATATTGCTTTTGTGCATATTTGTGTGTGTTTGTCTGTACTGTTCGCAAAACGTGTCCTGAATCCCTAAACAGTTTTTAATTAAACTTTCAGTAAGTTATAAATAAGTAAACTATTGCAAATTTAGCATGATTCAAGATGGCCAGCACAGCATAAGTAATTTGATCAAACACAAAAATGTTTACAACTCTATCAAGTTTTTAAAACGTTGTGCTACCTGAGACTGATCCCCAGTTTTTACTGAGTACAAACTGATCCCACCAGACCTCTTTTTAAAACTTTGCCATTATCTCTTAAAAATACCTCTCTGTTTGTTAGCAAAACATATCATGAATCACTCAACACATATTAAGGACATTTTCAGGAAGTAATCACTGGAAAACATCAACTTATGGTTAACTTTTTGCATTAAAGCCAGTTTGGGCCAAGCTTTAGCTATTGAACAGATGACCTGGATTTTGATTTTAGTATATCTGTGTGTACAAACAAGTTCATGATCAACTCAATGACTGCAATGCTCTCAGGTCTTGTATTTGCTGCAAACAAGCCCAAATTTTATTTAACATCTTACCCTAACCCTAACATAGTTATCACCCTCCTTTTGATCCTAGGTATAGTTTTTCCCATTTGTCCTATTGCTATCCTTCCTTTTCTTTTTTGTATGTAATCATATAGTTCTTACATGAATGAGACTCTGGTCTGGTGTTGCATGCACTAAATAAAAGTGTGCAAGTACAGTGTTTCATCTCAAGTGTAACAATGTAATCTGTTCTGCTAGGGCGGTCCCTTCTCCTCCAATAGCTCCATTTGTTGGTCTCGGCTCTCTATGTTGACAGATGATAGCTTGAAGTCGTCTCCTTAGTTTGCCAGCTCTATGTGTCACTTTCAAGTCCCATTAGCCACTGGGACATACTGGAACATCATCCAAACCACATTAACACTGTGCCTGCTCCTGCATGTGAGTGTCTGCAGTCTAACCTTAAAAATATGCTATTTCCTTATATCACTGTACCATCAAATTTCCATTCTGTACTTTTAGGTACTTGCAGTGAAATAAACTTTTTTACCTTTTTTTTAATGTTTTTTTTAAAAGTATTGCTAAATATAGATATTTATGCCATTCTCTCCTCCTTTCTTCCAGGTTCGAAGTACTGTCAACAGGATCAAGGAGAGAAGAAAAGCACTTAATTTCTCTGTATGTAATTTGTTATTTTCTTATTTCTCTGTGTGTGGTCGGTGTCTGAAAAACAACTGTTGTGACCAACCCAATTTTCCTTAAAGATTTGGCTTCTCATAGGAGAAAAAATGCTACTCTGCCTGTTCCAATGAAAGCTGGCCTCAGAGCAGCATCTGATAGCCTCTTACTAGTTGACAGTCTATGTTAGATGCCCTTATAGATCAAACATAGACCCTCTAATAGCCCCCACACCACACCACCCTTTTCTCACTCTCCCAGCACCTTCATCCCAGCAATGTCAAGCTCTGCAGCAGGTTACAAGTTTCTAATCCAGGACAAGCTGTCCCTTGACATTAAAGTGTCAGGCCAGTATTTATATCTTGTTGGACGTTGCTGTTTAGGTGAAACTGTGAAATGCTGTGTGTGCGTGTGTGTGTGTATGTGTATGTGTATGTACAGAAAAATAACTGCTTACAAAACGCTTTATAGAAGTACTTAAAGATTTAGCTTATGCAAACATGCATCACGTACAAACATCTAATTATTAATCGTAGCACCTTAATAAACAACCACTCATCACTCTGCCAAAACCACAAATACACCTTGTTATGTGGTTGTGTCACACCTTATGGCCAGAAATACTTTGTCTTGCCTTTCCGTCTGGATTTTGACTTGCACCTACGTATTTTATCCATTCCTCAAAGCCACTTAGCTCAGGAAAGATTTTTAAAATCAATGTGTCCCTACAATTTTTGTTTGAACTACTTTGTACTATGAGTTGGATATGGTGACTGTGAGAGGAAATTAAGTAAAAAAAAAAAAAAAGGGAATTGTGTGCATGTGTATGTGACATGTGGGGTAAGGGGGGGTGTATGAACATGGGGGCCTGCCACCAGGTGCACTCTGATATATTGGCTCCTCATGTTATCAGTGAGGGACCCCCATCTAGTGTCATTTTTACTGCTTCTTTCCCCTCCTGTGGTGGCAATTTTCCAATCTTACCAGGTTGTGCTGCCAGAATATGTTCTTTTAGCCATCACTGGTGCCTGATGGTTTTTAGCTAATGCTATTTTGTGTCATAAATCCTGCTTGAAATACTGAATGTTCCTGTCCTTTGGTTAGATAGGAGACATTTGGCTTTAGATTACTGCACATTCTCCCATCTATCCTCTTGTTGTAAAACATTAGATTTGGTATTGTGCAATTCCCAGTAAGTAGGTAAAGAGGCTTTGATGGTAATGCTACATATGGGGCCATTTAAAGATGAATTGCACTTGTTGAGGATAAAGGAGTTTGTGTTGTAATATGTGCCAATGAACATAACCATGTAAATCAATGAAACTTAGATTGAGTAGGTATTTAAATGAAAATACGATTTGGAACCAATGTTTTCTTTTTTTTTTTTGGTTCCCTTATCAGCATTAGAAGTAGTCAAAACTAAATCTTATATAGTAGATATTCTAGTAATTCTAGGACTATAATACTGCATGTGATTAGGCTTTTCCGCTGAGTAAAGCAGATTGGTACCACTTCATTTAAGCAACTGCTGTATATTTCAGCATAAAAAATGCAATAAGTTAAAATCAGTCGGCAATTTTACCTACATATTGGTCTTTTTTACAGTGACATGACACAAGTAACCTTGACAGTATCTTATATAAATTCCACCAAACCTAATCGCCAACTGTCCTGTCTTTAATTCCACACCACTGTTGACCTCTTCAGACCCCTTTCTTATTGTCGCTCTCTACACCAACACAGATTTCATACACAATTTATTATTTTTTAACCCCTCTGGTGTATGGTTATATATGTACTCCTATTTACACACTTTTAGCAGTGCTGTCGCCCTGTTTGATACTACATACCTTCTGACCTTCCCTGACCCCCCCTCTCATTCACACACAGCTAGATTGCTTTGTGAAATAAAGCTGTCAGTTGCAGAGTTCAAATAAAAAAACACCCCTCTAACCTCTTCCTACCCCTTTCTCAGTACTTCATGTCTCTGACATCACTGAAGTACTGATATAAATGAGAAGTAAATTAGATTTTTAAATTTATTTAACAAGCTATTAAAAAAACATGCAGGAATCGTTTGTATTTAATAAGTTAGAATAACATTTTTTAATGATAAAAAAAAAAAAAAAAACTAAAGCGACTGAAAGTTTGTTTCCGATTGCACATTAAAGCATTTTTCTTAGTTTCTTTGTAAAATTCCTACATTGCCAGGACTGCCAGCTGGAAGAATTTACCTTATCATGTTAGCTGTATGTGAACAGAGTTTGCATCTTAGCAGTTGTGTTTGTTAAATGCACTGAAGTTGGAGATCAACAATTCACTAAAGATGACTCTCAGGCAATGCTCTCCTGTTTGCCATATGACATTTTCCTGCCTGTGGAAGTACATGTAAGAAGATGTGGAGCCTGTTAATGCCCACTTAATCTGTCTGGGAATTATGCAAACAAATGTTTATTTGATTTTTATTTTTTGTGACTTATTTTTTTTAAATTGCCTCAAAGATGTGCATGCTTGTTCAAAACAAACACATCTCTAAATCAAATTTACACATCAGCTGTTCATTTGTCACATTGTAGCAACTGATAAAGCCTTAGAGCAGTCAACACATTTGTTTGTTAGGAATTGGAAAAAATGGTTAATTTCACACTGGCTTTCTGTACGATGGAGCTTTAGGGTCACGCTAAAAGAAAATACATTGACGTGCTAAGAAAAAAAATTAAAAGCCATAAAATTATGAGAATAAAGTTGTAATATTACGAGAATAAAGTCGTACAAGACTTTTTTTTTTTAAACAGCTGTCAGAATAATTTTTTCATTCTACGAGTTGGATCCACAACGCAACCTGTCAATCAATCCAGTAGGCGTGTCAGCAAATGAACAATCTGAAGCTAAATGAGTTGTAATAGTATCTGAACTCCAACACAATAAAGGAACGTTTACCACATTTTAACTGTGGTTAAATGAAGAATATTGAGCATCTTGTTAAGTTATACTTTGGTATTGGTTTTACAAAAAAGGAGATAATTAATCTGTTCACCCAGACACACATCAGCATCAGATTGTCATCAGTATCAGGACTCTGCACCTGCTTGTAGACACTGATGGGCCACAGCGCAGCTCTCTGCAGGTAAGAAGCATTTAGCTTCAGATTGGTCATTTGCTGACACGCCTACTGGATTGATTGACAGGTCGTGTCATGGATCCAACTCGTGAAAAAAAATAAAAGTCTCGTTTGACTTTATTCTCGTAATATTAAGACTTTATTTGACTTTATTCTTGTAATTCTACAATTTTATTCTTGTAATTGTATGGCTTTAAATTTTTTTTTGGCTCTAAAGTTCCGTCGTACTTTCTGAGATTGGAATTTTAGTAAAAAAAAACAAACAAACTGGTTTTCACAACAGCACAGTAGATTTTTATTCACACTTTAAACTCACACAGGACAACATGTAAACTACTATGGTTTAAAAAAGCCTAAGGTACTTTTTCACAACAGCTGACAGTCATGTAATTTCTTCTAGAATTGTGCCAGCTCCCGACCATCCAGCTCAGTCACCAATTCCCGTCCTGCAAGTTTGCCACTTGAGACAACCCCAAGTCAGGAGGAGGAGGAAACATACACAAGCAGTAACACGCCGTGCCTCAAACGAGAGGAGGAGGAGAACAGAGGTTAGCAGCCACATTAATACCTGACAGTTATTACACAAGTCAGCCTTTTGTTTACAGCATATTAACAGTGTGGAGGCAGTATTGTTTTGTTTAACATGGTTTTCACTCGTATTAACTCATATTATCAACTTTTGCAGCATAAATTATTATTTTTATTATATCCCTTAAGTCAATCCTGCATCCTAAAATGTCAAGTAATCTTCATCAAATTTTCAATTCAATCAAAATAATAGAAAAGGAATAATTGTGTCAAAATGTTCAAGTTAAATATGTATTTCTACTTTTTTTGTTGTTGCTGAGTTTAAGGCATTCAATCTCTGTCACATCTGTCAGATTTTCAGGTAAGGATGTTAGTAAATACTGTACAGTTCTTTGTTTCTTGAATAATGGTGCATTGAATGCAAATAATTAATTTATATTGAAGAACCAGACACTTTACTTCTACTAAAGGAGAAGTGGGTAGTGGTGACGCATAGGTTAAAGAAGGTAGACCTGTGATTGGAAGGTTGTCGGTTTGACTCCCCTGATGGACAACATCAAAATGTGTGTGGAAAAGGTGAGACACCCACACCTTCCTCCACTCACATTTGCCTCACTCTGGGCCCTTGAGCAAGGCCCTTAACCCCCACCATCTGCTCCCAAACAGGTCTCTCTTGAAATGAGTCTTCACGACTCAATGAGACTACCTGTATAATTAAAGGTTAAATAAAAAAATATCAAGATTTAAACACTCAAGATGCAAAGGTGAGGTTAATAAGGGTTATTATGCAACGGTTATTAGTTAAATAAAACAGTGTTACTGTCTCAAAACAAATTAAGTTTTTATTTTTGTTTTGTATTTGACACACGTTTAAACTCTGAGATGACAGTAGGTCACAATATTTCTTGCTAATTTAATTACTATGTACTATCCTTGCATCCTAAATTGCACAGCCAGTAAAAACAAACCAGAATGTTGCAGGTTTCAATGGGTTAATACATTTTGATTGTTTCTGAATAAAATGATCATATGCATCTGTTTCCCACTGGTATATCAAAAAAAGCATTGATGCAAGATATTCCAAAACTAGAGAGTAGTGTCTGGCCTGTTGAGTGTAATCAGACATAAGAGGTCCACTCTTCAACTCTTAACACTAACCAGACTCCCTGGCTTCGGTACAGATACCTGACCCAGGCTGTGCTCTGCAGAGTTAAACATCATTTCACTGTGGTAAAAAGTGATGGTACTAGTTTCAAAGAAGGGCAAGAAAGAGGGAGAAGTTCTTTCCTGCTTTCATTTTGTAATTTAAAACCAGTCACTTTTATTTTGGAGTGGTTTTGGACTTTCCTTATGCATTTTTCTTGTTTTAATGCAAGTTTTACTTAAAATACTTCTAACATTTTCACACAGATTTTAATAACTGACAATTTTGTGTTCTAGTCTGATCTGAAAGTCAAGATCACTTGTAACAATTCAGTGTTTAGATATTACATTACTTTTGAAAAACCTGTGTATATTTTGGACGTCCTTAGCTGATTAGAGATGTTTTGACAGGTAAAGGATTAACCTGCTCATTAGGAGACATGGTATCAGAATGACATGGCTACTTAGTCTTTTTTAAATTGTATTTTTTTTTTTTTACAAGTAATTACATCATTACAAATCCTAATATCGGCCTAATAAT